AATCACGTGACCGGTGTCAGCCGCGTTGATTTGTCTAAGTCCGCTTTGGGCCACTGTCCCTGCCTTCCAGATAGCACAAACTTAATCACTTTGTAGATAGTTATAGGTATGTATCAGTCTAATAGTATATAGAGTGACTAATATTATCATTCAAGACCTGAGTCTGGTTTCAATCATGGTATTTGTGCATTGGGAGACCTGCTATCATTACTATACAGATACATACCAAATCTATGGGTGCTATATTGACTGCACCTATGAGCTATGTATCACTATGTAGCTAGTACTTTGAACTATATTACCTATAATTACTATATAGCACTATATATCAACTGTCCTACTTCTACATAGCAACCATAGCACTACATAGCAACTGGGCAACTTCTATATAGCATCCATAGCACTCCAATAGTGTCCATAGTTCTGAGGGGCAGCTATATAGATAAAGATTTTTTCAGATGCAGCTCGGCAAGGCCTTAGAGTCACATCATTGGAGGGGTAAAATTGACCTTACAAGGACATGCCAAAGAGGGTGGCTGAGATGAATAGTTTCACTCATGTACATATTTGACTGATTGCTACACTATCATGATCAGATAGCATAGATCACATGGTCAGAGTAACTTCTCAGGAAATGGGAATATGTGGGTACTCAGACATGTTGCTATGGTAACACAGAGCTGCTGTGCAAGGCTGTGCATGTTAGTAAGCCTGCTGCACCACAGCAGATGCTTAGTAAGCCTGTGATCTGATTGGATGGAGTGGTAACGGCCAAATTAGTATAAAAGGAGGACACATGAGCCCTTTGGAGAAATAAACTACCACTTGGAACGATTTAACAAACGACTCAGGGAGACTGTAGAGCAGTCTCTATAAGGATTAAGCAGCAAGGAAGGTCAAGATTATCAGTATTTGAGTGCTGACCTATGCACAAGGACTAAGTATCGCTCCAGGACAAGACGATATAGGATACTTTGGGGTGACAAGACACTTCCAGACAATCAACAGCATATTCAGTAGTTGTCAGGGCACGTGTCAAGCCTGGCAAGACATTCCCTGCATCTGTTTCTGAGATTCTGCAGCCCTTACCACCGGCCTGCACTGACCTGCCATGCCACCTGGTGTCATGAACGCTTAGTAATGACACGCAGAATAGAGTAGAACCTTGTAGAAAGCGCTGGAACGCGCCTGAAGGTTCTAGGACTTGTAGTGACTTAGGTTATGACTCAACTGTGACTCATAAGGAACATTGTAGAATAGTATAGAACATTATGGTAGGTACTGGAAGATTCTAGTACAGTACTTGTATAGTAGTATATAAGACGCTAGCTGAAGTCGATGGACTTCAGCTCGTCCATCTGTTATACACACCCTTAGCGCTATAACAATTGACGGTTCGGTTACGGCCTCTCAGACTTAAGACTAAGACACCGCTACCTTAACAACAACAACCCCCACTCGACCTAGTGCGTCTAGAGTCTTGACTCTCACGCCTAAGTCACACGACACAGCCTAGACTACAACGACAGACTTTACGCCAAGTCTAACAACCACGACGGTTCGGTACCCGCCTAAGGTACCACGATCTAGGGGTTCTTACACCTGGCCTTGGGTGGGCCCCTCCTGCCACTGGACACTGCTGGGTGACTCCCCATGCCACCAGGTGTCTCTTGGGTCGTGCCTCCTGGTCACCAGACCCACTATTGGTTGATATTTGCTCCCACTGATCCCCGAGATGTGGTATATAGGTACCTGTTGCACCTGGGAACACCTTACACTTATTCTCTCAGGTGTGTCCTGCCTTGTGTGACAGGTATGTGTATTTCTGTAGTTCTCTTTGTCATATACTTAGGTGTTCCCTGCCTTGTGTGACAGCATCTCCACCGGGCCAGGAGTCTCCGGAGCATACCCTGACAGTAGTTCTCTCACAAGTGTGAGAAGACCTTACCAAAACAGATCAGAAGACAGGCACCGGATCTCTGTTCACGTGAATTCATTCAAGCAGCTCATTACCTCTGATTCAACTAGGCAATCCCTGACTTAGATAGACTGGTACCCTAGGCAACTGGGTGACTATATACTAGCACTACAGTTCACACAACAACGTGCTTACTATTTTGAAGACAGGGTGGGAGAGAACAGTGCGGGGTGGCTTGTTTGACAGCTGGGAGGTGAATGTGCCCGGGCATTATTGGAGGATAGGGAATCTGGAAGCCAAATGCTAGCTCATCAATTTATGCAGAAATATAATACATGTATACGAGATATGCAATCTATCATTTTGATCCCTCTTCCGGTGCACTCTTCTTGCAATGCTTCATATAGGCACTACAAATTTCACTGGTTACTGTCCTACAGGTCTCTGGTGAGTATATATATCAGATTTACGTGTGGCACCTTCTGAGATAGAAACTCTTCTTTCTGAAACAGTACCATGTAGCGGGCCTGTGCTTGAGTTGAAGACATAGCAATGATGGGCATATTTCTAATTTGACTATGGGCACCCTTTTAAAAATGAATGAGAATCTGTTGTATGTTGGCCTAGTTGGGACCCCATACAGGGTGAGGGCAAGGGCAAGTGGTGTATATTCCTGACAAGGGTCAGTAACAGTGTTATAGTAGTAAATTGCATCCTACCAGCTCGAATAATGTCCATGCTGCTGACAAGTCCTGGAAGAGAGTAGATTTGTTAGCAAGCATATGGGGTTTCAGCTGCTTCAAGTTCCCAAAGTGTGAAAGCATTTTGGCAGTCTCCTTAGCTGGGTCAAGATAATCATGAAGTTGTTTGGATATCTACCTACAAGTAAGCAGGGTCAACAGTTCTGATTGAGGCTTGCCTTTTGGTCTCCGGATATCTTGAAGATTGGATGCCTATCGCTGGCCTGCCAGGTCCAGTCATCCCTCTCCTGTGAGCTCAAGGCTTTCAGATCCAAAAGGGCTTACATCTGATGCAGGCTTGTGCAATGTACAAACAATCTCCCTACAGCATCGATGAATGTTGGGACCTGGTTTCTCAGCTTGAAAATACCTGACCTTGACACCTGGCTCAGCAACAATAGTTAGTGCAGGTCCATTGTGTCTTGGCTGGGAAAGTGAAAAGATTTGGATCTAATATATAACCATGGTAGCAAAGAGCCATTGGTGATGATCAATTGGAGGGGATAGACTGAGGAATACAATGCAAGGGCACTAGGTATGTCTGATGTTGGGAATGCATTTCCTATTAGGAAATAGCACAAGAAGCTTTCTACAATGAGAATTTACAGTGTATCTATGGTATCAGCATGAGAATCTTCTGGACATGAGAAGTTATGATGTATATATAGGCTACTATTTGCAAATTTTTTGCCAGTGAATTTGTGGCTAAGAAATATTGCTGTACTGAGTTTCAGAAACTAACCAAGGGCTACAATATAATCCCAATATTTAATTAATATTATTGTAAAGGCCTGCCTGAGCACTGACTTCAATCCAAAGTCATAAAAATTCAATCTGGATCCCTATTGTAACTTCCTGCAAGATTGGCCATTATCCCAAGGTGCCTCACGTGTGTGAGTATTTGCTAGTATCTGCACACAAAACTGTGTTTGCTAGATTGACTCCGCAAGAATCAAATATTTGACCATGTCAATTTGCCCTACTTGAGCAACTCCTAATCAAGATCAGGACAGGGGTTGGCAGTTTGGTGCAACAGAAGTTAAATCAGAAAATGAACGGGCCGATGACTTGCAGGCATGACAATAAAGATAATGAATGAGTCAGACAAGGATGTCTGAGGAACATAAGGGGGGGGAGGAACTTGAAATTTTCAATAACTCGATTGTTCTGTCCCCCACCCCAAGCACACACCAAACTCCTCACTCACTACTCACTACTCACTTGACATCCAAGATGCCGATATCCACCCAATTCAAGAATGAGACTGGCAACATGACTGTGTCAGTACTCTAAGAGCTCTCTGTCTGAACCGATGAAGTACAAAAATTAATCGAGACAGTCTGGTCAATACATAGAGACTCTGTTACCGTCCTCTTCAATCACTGCACCGAATCAAAACGAGAGGGACGACTCGACGAAGCGATTGCACAAGGACAAGCGGCCCTCGACACTGGTGTTGCGCAGTGAGGCAAGCACCTTGTGAGGCATGCCACAAGCATGCCCTCGTGTATGGGTATCCTGTATTCAAGCTGGGGAACGCAAAAGTCACCTCCTTTTCAACCTTTCTTTGAACCAACGCAAAACATGAGTGTCTACAAGCAATCTTCGTCATTCCAATCAAGGTGAAGCAGTTTGCTTGCACCTGCTCGGGCCGCAATGGTGAAGAATACACCTCCCATGTCTAGCCATAAACAGGCATGAAGCATAGTCTTCAGTTTCTTGCGTATCATTTCCGTGCACCTGACTAGCGTGAGCGCATTGTGCATTAAGCAGATCAGTACACTCACATTTGTTTGATTTCGAATTGCGGGTGAGCATGATATGAGATAATGTTGTTGATAGCCGGTGCGAAGTTTTCTTGTAGACAAGTAAGCAGTTTGCGAATTGCCGGAATCGTACGTGGCCTCTTCTCCTGCCTTGTATCTGCCATAACGTAGGGCATGTTGTTCTTAGCATAGTAGCCCCATATACCGAAATAGAACGCATCGGCGCTGGTATTTGATTGGTCATCGCTCCCGTTTGAGATTTTGCCTTTCGTATTGGCTGACAAAGATCAGCATGGGACCAAGCAAAGAAGCAGCTCCAGGATAAAATCAACAAAATGAAAATGATGCAAATTGATCGGATCGTCGAGGTCACCAACGAGGTCAAGACTGAAGAAGAGAGTGAGACGATTTATAACACTCCAGCGACGACACCAGAGCTGACAACCGACACCAACGAAAGCAATGGATTGTTTACGACTCAGAAGAAGAAGAAAGGAAAGCAGGTGCCCCGATGCAAAGTAAGCAGGGGTAGAACTATGCAGCGAATCGAGAAACTCACATGTTGAAAGGACCGCAATGAAGTCAGCTCAGTCAGAGCCGACGACGGTCATGGTGGATGGTCCACTATCAACGAGCCCATGTCATAGGACACATGCAGTGAGTCATTAGAAAAAGCAGAAGAAGGACGGATAACCAAGATGGTTTTAGCACCACTGAGCTGGTCACCATTCTGCGATGAAGACGAAGCAAAGAAGTACAGAGCAACAATGCAGAAGGTCGCCGGCGTCACATATGTGACCTACACTGACGACATGATCAAGAAGCTCAACAAGGACAACTGGTCCAAGCCCGAGCCGTACCCCACGTCTGATCGTAGGCGCACACATCGAGAGTGACGAGTACGTTCGAAATCATGTCAAGGGTGCGATAGCCAACAAGTTACGGCACATGCATGGCAACAGAGGCAACAATGCGGAGAAGTGGAGGATTGAATGGGCTGATATGCTCAACTATGTCGATCAGTATGGGCGCACATAAGAAATTTGCGTGCATCTAGGAAGATTGCACCCCAGAGAGGGGATAGTGTCATGAACGCTAAGTAATGACACAAGTAGAACCTCATAGAAGGCACTGGAATGTGCTGAAAGGTTCTAGTGTGCTTGTATGATCCGGTTATGACTCGGATGACTCGACTGTGACTCGAAGGAACATTGTAGAATAGTATAGAACACAGTGGTAGGTACTGGAATGATCTAGTACAGTACTTGTATAGTAGTATATAAGACGCTAGCTGAAGTCGAGGGACTTCAGCTCGTCCATCTGTTATACACGCCCTCAGCGTTACAACGATTGTCGACTTGGTTTCGGTCTCTCAAGCTCTAAGTCTAAGACATCGCAACCACATCCCACCACCACCACACTGGACCTAGTGCGCCTAGGGTCTAAACTCTCACACCTAAGTCACATGACACAGCCTAGACTACTACACCAAGTCTAATAGCCACGACGGTCTGGTATCTGCCTAAGGTACCTAGATCTAGGGGTTCTTACTGTGGAGGTTGATGATGGATCAGTCTAGGTGGTTACCATCCATCATTCCCCTGGTCACCGCTTTTCTGGCTGCTCTGATCATCCTTCGATGCTGGTCTCCTGGCTACATGTCTCCCATCCGTTCACATCAGTTGGTATCAGTTGGCATCAGTTGGTTGACCACACAACTGATGCAACCGGTCCAACGTCAGTTGGTTGCTTAGATCACTGATTCCAACCGTCCATCTCCACATGCTTGCTCCCTACTTCCATAGCTTCGATATCTCCCTTGTTACTTGTTACCATAGCTTCCATCATAGCTAGATGTATTTAGGGAGCAGGGATGGAGCCCAGAGTCCTCAGACTTCGACTCACAGCTCCATTCCCTTGCTCCCAGCTCGCTACAGTGCTGCACACACACCTCTGCCGCTGTTGCAAGCCTCCTGCCTTCCCCAGGCACTCCCTGCACATCTGTGCGGTGCTCTACGCTCTCCAGCGTCTCCCTGCGCTCCCTGCGCCTCCTACGTCCCCTCCTGCGCGTTTCCCGTGCTGCCACAGGCTTTAACGGTCCCTTGACCTCCTGCGAGCGCTTGTAGACACATAGGGCTTCCACAGCTACACATAAACACTTGGGTGGGCAGAACTTGCAGTGGGTCTATCCCCGTCTACCTTGATTGGCTTCGCCGCCTTTCAGCCCTGGAATAAGCCACACCGGGTATCCATTCCTTTGTGTGTGTGGCAGGGGTCAAGTTCGTGTCTGTGTGTGGCTCTCCCCATCTATAAGTAACTAGTTTTGCATGATTTGCGTGATCTACGGGCTCTTTTCGCTTTTCTACACAGTTAGATAGCTTAGACAGACTCTTCTTCGCGCCTGGGACGTCCTACACGCACCGCACTGTTGTCTGTGGTGACTTGCCATCTATCTCTCTGGCGCTTATTTTGCGTGGCTGTGGCCGCTTTAGCTCGTAGGCTGTGCTGACAGTTTTACTGGAGAGCCACAGACGAGTTGGGCACTTCATTCTGCTCACTGTCTGTGCTCTCCAGGTAGGATAGCCCTCTCCATGTATTGACTTCATTCTGCTCACTGTCAGTGCTCTCCAGCCCGTTCTCGAACAACTCGGCTCACCTCGCCCTCCTTGCATCATCATCATCATCACCACCATATCTCACCTACTTCACCTATCTCCACCTCACTCCAGCATCAGGACACCATGTCCTCGTCTAAAGAGCTCA